AAAGCATTTCTATTTCTGTATCTAGCAAAAAGCAAATAAAAGATAAAGATACAAGAGCCACAGCATTTACAACAGCAGTAACATTGGGACTCACACAGTAAAAAAATATGTAGGACCACTAAGAAAGAACTATAGAATATTACCAAGAGACATGACAAAACACCTAAATAAATAAAGGGATTTCTCTTTCTAGATTGGAAGACTCAATGTTAATTCTCCTAAAATCAGTTTTTTTTTTTCTTTTTAGGCTAGTGCTTTTGATGTCATGTCTAAAAACTCTTTGTGTCAGTCCAGGTCATGAAGTTTATTCCTATATTTTCTTCTAGAAGTTTCTTTTTAATTTTTCAATTACAGTTTACATTCAATATTTTGTATTAGTTTAGGTATACAGCATAGTGGTTAGATAACCATATACTTTACAAAGTAGTCCCCAGTATTTCAAGTACCAACCTGGCACCATACATAATTATTACAATATTATTGACTATGTTCCTATGCTGTATTTTACATACCATGACTTTTTCATGACTACCAATTTTATACTTCTTAATCCCTTTACATTTTTCACCCAGCCCCTGATCCCCCTTTCTCTGACAGCCGTCAGTCTGATTTCTGTACCTATGAGTCTGTATTTATTTTGTTTGCTTATTTTGCTCTTTAGATTCAACATAGAAGTAAAATCATATGGCATTTGTTTTCCTCTGTTTGACATTTCACTCAGCATAATCTCTAGGTCAGTGGTTCTCAACCTTCTGGCCCTTTAAATACAGTTCCTCATGTTGTGACCCAACCATAACATTATTTTTGTTGCTACTTCATAACTGTAATGTTGCTACTGTTATGAATCACAATGTAAATATCTGATATGCAGGATGGTCTTAGGCGACCCCTGTGAAAGGGTCGTTCAACCGCCAAAGGGTCGCGACCCACAGGTTGAGAACCGCTGCTCTAGGTCATCCATGCTGTTACAAACAGTAAGATTTCATTCTTTTTTTATGGCCAAGTAACATACATATACATATACATATACATATACATATACATATACATATACATATACAAATACATGACAGCTTTTTTATCCATTCATCTATTGATGGGCACCTAGAGAAGGATCTAATTTCTAGAGTTACTACATTATAATAGTCAAATGATCAGCTTTCAGCAACAACGACAACAACAACAAAACCCCCCACAATGCATAAGCAGACACAGAAAAGTGTGGATCAAACAAAGGAACAAAATAAATTAACACAAACTATCCCTTAGTAAGTTGAGGTATAGAACTTACTATCAAAGACTTAAAAATAACTGTCTTAGCCCAGCCAGCATGGCTTTGTTGTTGAGCATCAATCTATGAACCAGGAGGTCATGGTTCAATTCCCAGTCAGGGCACATGCCCAGATTGTGGGCTCGATCCCCAGTGGGGACATGCAGGAGGCAGCCGATCAATGATTCTCATCATTGATGTTTTTCTCCCTCTCCCTTTCTCTCTGAAATCAATAAAAGAATACGTTAAAAAAATATATATTCAGAAAGACAAAGAAAAATATGGACAATGACCAAAGGAAATCAGAGAAATTATGTATGGACAAAATGAGAATATTGATAAAGAGATAGAAATTATAAAAAGGAACCTAACAGATACTTTGGAGCCAAAAGTACAATAACTGATATAAAAATGTACTAGACTAGTTAAACATCAGATTTAAGCAGGAAGGAGAATCAATGAACTTGAAGATAAGACAATTGAAATAATCAAGCCCGAGGAACAGAAAGAAAAACAGAGAAAAATGTGAACAGACCCTAAGGAACTTGGGACACCATGAATTGTATTAACATACACATTATGGGAATCACAGATTAAGAAAGATTGAAAGAGGTAGAAAGAATATTTGAAAAAAGAATTGCTCAATACTGACCAAATTTTATGAAACCCATGAATCTAAAAATCCAAGAAGCTCAATAACTTCAAGTAGGATAACCTCAAAGAGACTCACATTATAATTCAACTATTGGAAGACAAATACAAAGAAGATCTTTAAAGCAATGAGAGAAGGGATCATATACAGGGGATCCTCAATAAGATTAACAGTTGATATTTCATCAGAAGCAATGGAGGTTAAAAAAAATAAGAAAAAGAAAGAAAGAAAAAAGCAGGATGACATATTTAAAGTACTGAAAGAAAAACATGTCAACTGATAATTTTATATCTGGAAAAGCTGTCCTTCAAACGTGATGAAGAAGTTAAGACTATCAGATAAACAAAATCTGAACTCTTTACCATTTGACCAGAACTTCAAGAAATATTAAAGAGAGTTTTTCAGGTTAAAATAAAGGACAACCAACAGTAACTCAAAGTAGTATAAGAAATAAAGTTCTCTGATAAAGCCATATACATAGGCAAATATAAAGCAAGTGTTATTGTATTTTTGATTTGTAATCCCACTTTTTACTTCTTACATGATTAAAAAGATGAATGCATAAAATCAATTTAAAATCTAAGTTATTGGGCACATGATGTATAAAGACATAATTTGTGACAACATAAATGAGAGAGAATGGAGATATATAGGAGCAGGTTTTTATATTCTTTTGGAGTGAAGTTTGCATCAATTCAAGATAGCTTAATTTAAATTTAATACATTAAATATAATCCCCCATGGTAATCACAAAACATACCTGAAAGACTATACAAAAAGGAAATGAAAAGGGAATTAAAATGATTCACTAAAAAAATTTGACTAAACCTAACAGAACCAATAATGGAGAAAATGAGGAACATGGAAAGCCATGAGACATACAGAAAACAAATAGCTAGATGGCAGAAATAAGCCTCTCCTTAATTACTTTAAATGTAAATAGATTAAACTTTAATAGAAAAGAAAAGGTTGGCAGAATGGATTAAAAATATGACCTAGTGGTACCATCTCACACCAGTCAGAATGGCTATCATCAACAAATAACAAGTGCTGGTGAGGATGTGGAGAAAAAGGAATCCTCATGCACTACTGGTGGGAATGCAGACTGGGCTAGCCACTGTGGAAAACAGTATGGAGTTTCCTCAAAAAATTAAGGATGGAACTCTCATTTGACCCAGTAACCCCATTTCTAGGAATATATCTCAAGAAATCAGAAACACCAATCAGAAAGGATATATGCACCCTTATGTTCATAGCATCACAATTTACAATAGCTAGGATTTGGAAACAGCCTAAGTGCCCATCTGCAGATGAGTAGATTAGAAAACTGTGGTACATCTACACAATGGAATACTACGCTGCTGTGAAAAAGAAACAACTCTTACAATTTGCAACAGCATGGATGGACCTGGAGAGCATTATGCTAAGCGAAATAAGCCAGTCAGAGAAAGATAAATATCACACAATATCACTCATTTGTGGAATATAATGAACGAAAATAGATCCAGAGACATAGAAGCATCAAGCAGACTGTCACACCTCAGAGGGAAGGCAGAGGAGGGTGGGGGTAGTGGTGTAAGAGATAAACCAAAATACTTGTATGCATGCATATAAGCAAAACCAATGGACACAGACAGTAGGGGGATGAGGACATGTGCTGGGGAGTGGGAGTGGCTGGGAAGATGTCAATGGGGGGAAAAGGAGACTTATGTAATACTTTAAACAATAAAGAATTTAAATTAAAAAAATGACCTAGCCCTGTCTGGTATTCTCAGTGGTTAGGGTGTTGTTCTATGCACTGAAAAGCCATGGGTTCAATTCCCCGTCAGGCCACATGCCCAGGTTGTGGGTTGATCCCTGGTCAGGTACGTGTCTGGGGCAGCCAATCAATGATCCTCTCTCACATTGATGTTTCTCTATGTCTCCCTCCCTCCCTCTTCTTCTCTCTCTGAAATCAATGAAAAGCATATCCTCAGGTGAGGATTAAAAAAGATATATGATTGCCCAACCAGCATGGTTCAGTGGTTGAGCATTGATCTATGAACCAGGAGGTCACAGGTTCAATTCCTGGTCAGGGCACATGCCCGGGTTGCAGGAGGAGGCAGCCTATCAATGATTCTCTCTTATCATTGATGTTTCTATCTTTCTCCCCCTCTCCCTTCCTCTCTGAAGTCAATAATTAAAAATATTTGTTAAAAAGATATATAATCAAAGTATATGCTATCTACAAGAGACTTACTTTAGATTTTAAAAAAACTAATAGATTGAAAGTGAAGTGATAGAAAAAGACTTCCATTCAAATGGTAACCAAAATAAAATTACGGTGGCTATAGTAATATCAGACTTTAACCCCAAAATTGTTAAAAGAGACAAAAAGAACATTATATGTTAATAAAAGAGTCAATTCCTTATGATTTAATTATGAACATATATGCACAAAACAACAAATCCCCACAATATATAAAGCAAATATTAACACAATGAAAAGGAAATAGTGTGTTTTACATTAATAGTTGAACACTTTAATATTCCACTTTCAATATTGGATAGAGCTAGGCAGAAGATTAGTAAGAAAATAGAAGACTTTTGTTGGTCTTTTCAAAGAATCAACTTTTGGTTTCATTGATTCTTTATTTTCTATTTTTTATTTTATTTACATTTGCTCTAACATTTATTATTTTCCTCCTGCTAGCTTTCAGCTTAGTTTACTCTTTTTGTTCTAGTTCCTAAAGGTACAAAGTTATATTATAAATCTGAGATCTTTCTTCTTATTTAATGTAGGCATTTAAATCTATAATTTTCCCTTTGAGCACTGTCTTCACTGAATCCCACAAGTTTTGGTATGTTTTGTTTTAATTTTCATTCATTTCTAAGTATTTTCTAATTTCTCTTATAATTTCTTCTTTGACCTGTTTATTTTTAATAGTGTATTGTTTAATTTCCATTTACATCTGAGTTTTTCAGTTTTATTTCTATTATTGATTACATCAATTATCATTGATTAGAAGTTTCATTCCACTGTAATCAGAAAAGATACTGTGTATTACTTCAATCTTCTTTAATTTATTGAGAGTTGTTTGGTCTAAAACATGTTTTTTTTGTGAAGAATGTTCAACATGCACTTGAGAAGTGTATATTCTGCTGTTGTTGAGTGGAGTGTTCTCTATATGTCTGTCAGGTGTAGGCTGTAAGGGTGAATTTTGCCAAACATTTAATAATTCCAGAAAATAGAACATTTTCTAATTCATTCTATGAAGCCATCAGTACCCTGATACCAAAGCCAGATAAAGACATCACAAGAAAACTACATACCAATATCATTGTGCATATTGATGCAAAAATCCTTAACCAAAAATTTGCAAACCTAATCAAACAGGATATCTAAAGGATTATATGTCAGAATCAAGTGGTACTCACCCAGGAATAAAAGGGTAGTTCAATATGTATAAAACAATCAATGGAACACACCACATTAATAAAATAAAGGGAGAAAAACGCATCACATAATGATCTCAATAGGCATAGAAAAAACATTTGACAAAATTCAGCACTAATTCATGGTGAAAACATTCAGAAACTGAGAATATCAAGAAACGTACTCAAGCTTCTGCCACCATGGCATCCCTGGGGTCATTGGCATTTTTCTCCCTTCTGTGCTCCCTCTCTTGACTGGACGTCTGGCGTGAGATCTCAGACCTAGGGTGATGAAGATTTGGTGCTTGAAAATGAGAGTCAGACATCTTGTGAAGCATAAAATAGAAAAGCAGCAAAGAGATGGAACTTGCCTAAGCCTTCAACCAAAGTTTTACCACCTGCTGAACAGGCCACACAGAGAGGTTCCAGATTTACCTGAAGAAGCTCCTGAAGCAGCTCAAGAAGTAGTTACTGCTGCTGTCCGGTGTCCAGGTGGGAATGTCCTGAGGAGAAGGTTTATATTTATTTGTTTGTTTATTTATTTACTTACTTATTTCAGAGAGGAAGGGAGAGGGAGAGAAAGATAGAAACATCAATAATGAGAGAGAATCATTGATTGGCTGCCTCCTGCACACCCCACAGTGGGGATTGACCCCACAACCCAGGCATGTGCCCTGACTGGGAATTGAGCCATGACCTTCTGGTTCATAGGGCGATGCACAACCATTGAGCCATGTCGTCCAGGCAAAGAGGAGGTTTTTAAAATCCTAAAGTTCACAGGTTCTATTTGACTGGATGATGAAAATTGGGTACCACACATCCCTATAAAGCCTTTCTACTTCCTTTCCTAGAGGCCTATGGAAGTGTAGGGTGGCCAGTCATTGCAGGACATAGGAATAACTGTGGATACTGTACTCAAAATGGAAGAAAAAGAGCCAAGCAACTAGAAACAAGAACTATCTATTCTACATAAAATCAGTTATGTTATGACCTTACAGGACAGTAGAGGATTCACATTAAAATCATGCCATACCTTGACTGAGCTCAAAGCAGTGAACACTTTAATGTCGATATCCATGGGAATATGTAGACATAAAGGATTAGGAAAGGAGTGCTCTCTGCATATAATGATTTTGGAATATGCTATTTTATAATGTACCAAATGAGAGCTCGGTAAAAATGTATACAATAAAGCTCTCAATAACTTATTTTGTTCAGCTGATATCATTATTATGTTGAAAAACAAAACCATATGACTTTGGTTTCCGCCTCTTCAATCCATCTTAATTACACTATATTTCACAATTCAGTGAAACTCCTCATAGTCTTATAAATAGCAATGTTACTTCTGCTGTATCCCTAGAAATTAAAAACTTTAAGAGAATATTCAAAGCTCCTTACAGCTTTAAAGTTTTTTTAAGTATAGTTTTATTGTTGATAGTAGTACAGATATTTTGTCAAATGCTTTTTTTTTGCATCAATGAATATAATCATGTAGCTTTTCTTCCTTAACATGTTATTGATTACATTGATTAATGTTCAAATATTGTACCAGGCTTGCTTGCCTGGGATAAACCCCACTTTGTCATTCTGTTTATACATTGCTGGATCTGTTTGCTATTTTTTTTGTTGAGTATTTCTACATTTATGTTAAATAGTATAGAGGTAAGCGCTAGCTGGTTTGGCTCAGGCTGAAGGGTACAGGGTTTGATGCCAGTCAAGGCCGCATACCTGGGTTGCAGTGTGGGAGGCAACCAATTGATGTATTTCTCTCATATCAATGTTTCTCTCTGTCTCTTCCCCTCCTTCTACTCTCTCTCTCTCTCTAAAAAAAAAAAAAAAAAAAAAGGTATAGCTATAGTGTTCTATAAGTATAATGGTCTAAAATTTCTTTTTTTCATTGTCTTTGTTTTTGCTATCATGATACTGCGAGCTTCATAAAATGAGTTCACTCTTATTTTCTGGAAGAGATTGTTTGTTTTCTCATTTAAATAGTTGGTAGAACTCACCAATAAAACCATATAGGCCTAGAGATTTCTTGTTTGGAAGGCTTTTAACTATAAATTCAATTTCTTCAATAGCCACAGGACTATTCAAATTATCTATTGCAACCTGGCACATTTTAGCAGTTTGTAGTTTTCAAGGAGTTGGTTGATTTCATTTAAAGTTTGTGTGTATAGTGTTGTTTATAGTATTGTTTATTGTCTTATTCGTGGTTTGTTTGTTTTTTGAGGCAGATATTTTAATCCATGCCCAAGAAATTTAACTAAAACAAATAGATTTGGGATCAATAGAGTTGTGTTGGTGAGGATGTGGAAAAAGGGGAACTCTTGTGAACTGTTGGTGGGAATGCAAATTGGTGCAGCCACTGTGGAAAACAGTATGGAAGTGCCTCAAAAAAATTAAAAATAATTCTGACTTGTGACCTAGCAATTTCACTTCTGGATATAGAGCTGAAGAAATCTAAAACATTAATTTGAATGAATATACCCCTATGCTCATTACAGCATTATTTACAATAGCAAAACTATGGAAACAACCCAAGTGTCCACCAATAGAGGAGTGGATAAAAAAAATTGTGGAATATTATTCCACTATAAAAAACCCCCACAATATCTTACCATTTGCAATAACATGGATGGACCTAGAAGGTATTATGCTAAGTGAAATAAATCATTCAGAGAAAGACAATTGCCATATAATTTCACTTATATGTGGAATCAAAAGAACATTATAATTAGAAAAAAACAAAACAGAAACAGACTCATAGATACAGAGAACAGGCTGATGGTTGTCAGAGGGGAGAGTGTTCTGGGGCGTGTGCTCCCTTTTCCTCGATCCACCTGGGAAAGAGAGCGTGAACCGGTTCCTTCAAGGGGAGGTGTATCAGGGATTGAGAAAATGAAAGACAGACACAAAATAGAAAGCAAAGCTGGGCCTGGGTGGACTTCTGTCCTCTTCTGGCGGAGAGGCAGAGAGCCAAGACCCAAGGCAGCGTGTTTATTTTATAGTACCGGTCCCAATTCCCCAAAATAGAAGGAGGTTTCACCAAAACTCAAGATAAGGGAGGTATTCCAGGTACTTGACTGAATTTACATAATAAAAACCCATTCCCAGCACCTGGGCTTTGAAGAGTCCAGCTGAAGGCATTCTCACCTTTTGGCCAGAAATGCCCCCAAGGTAGGGCTATGCCCAAGCCTTGGGTTCAGTCAACATAACTTAAAGAAAGCCATGGCGCCTTCCCTGCCAGGGGGCCTCCCACAGGAGAGGGTTGGGAGAGTGAGTGAAAAGGGTGAAGGGATTGAGAAGTACAAATTGACAGTTACAAAATAGCCAGGGGATGTAAAGTACAGCATAGGGAATATAGTCATTAATACTGTAATAACCATGTATGGTGCCATGTGGGTACTAGAAATATCAGGGGGAACACTCTGTAAAGTCTTACTGTTATGCCCAGATTTCAGGATCCCCAAGAAACCACACCAGGGAGCCAGCTGTGTCCGATGCAAAAGCAAAGAGTCTTTTATTCAAACCCGGGCTTGGCTCCCCTACCCCCCTTACTGGCACAGCAGCAAGTGGCAGAGAGAGACCAGCCCTGTGGGGAGAGAGGTTTTATAGCGGGGTGGAGTAAGGGGAGGAGAGGGGACTGTGAGCCCTGCCGATTGGCCAGGCGCAAGTCGGTGTCTCGTTACACAGGATGTGGTCATATCTATGGCGCGCACTTCCCTTGATTGTCATTGGTTAGTTTAAAGAAATCCTGGGTGTGGCTAGCAGAGGCTTGGGCTTCTGGGAAGAAGCCTTGCCGAGCACATGGCTGCCCAAAAATTGAGGACACAGGGTAAGATGGAGGGCGTAGTCCTCGCCCTTTCACTTACTAGTTTCTGAATCTCCATGGGTCTGTAATGACAGTCCCTCTTTAGTAATCATATTAATAATTCTTAGGGTGGTGCTGGGGCCTGGAGCTGGATCTAAGATGACAGTGGTGGTGGTGGTGGTGGGGGGGGCAGGTGTCGCAGGACCCTTGTGGCCCTGTCGGTGTTCCCCTGTGACGGCCTCTCACCTTCGGAGACTCAAACCTCGAGATCCAGCGGCGAACAGCAGGCACGCGGCCAGCATCGCCCTCCACAGCGAGGAGGGTGAAGATGTGTGTGCTCGGTGTCCCGTGAGACAGAGGGCAGACATGCGGGCAGGCGGTCCTTCGTCCTCACCCTGGGCTGCAACCGCTTCCTCGTCCAGCTCATCACACCCACAACCTCCTGGAGACCTCCCGAGGCCGTACTGGGAGCTGTCAGTGTTCAGCGACCGAGGGCGGAGCAGTGCCCTGCAGTATTCCCAGTCTCATGGCCACCGGCGGTCGACCATTTCTGGTAGCCTCAGTGGACACATTTGACACCTGGAGCCTGATGGCCAAGTCTGTCAAGCACAGCGAAGGGCATTTGCACAGGATGGACATCCCCCGTTTGCATTCCGGGCTGGGTCAGGGTTAGGGTCGGCAGGGGAGGGCAGTTGGGGGCGACCTGTGTTCTTCATTCTGTTACTGAGATCATATTTTGGTTATTGTATTTGCAGTCTTAAATTTTTCATTTGTTTCTTTTTAATATCTTCCATTTATTTACTGAGATTTTTTTACTTTTCCATTGGTTTCTAGAGTATTTGTGATTGGTCATTATAGAATTTGTCCTTGTCAGAGATTCCAACGTCTGTGTCATCTTGGTGTTAGCATCTCTTGGTGTTAGCAACCTCTTCCTCCCCGCCCCGCCCCCCCTCCCCCCCCATGCAAGTTGAGATTTGGTTCTTGAATACCAAGGAATTTTGGATTGTTTTCTGGCTAGTTTGAATATTATGTTATGAAACTCTGGGTCTTATTTAAATTCCACGGAGAATGTTGTTATTTCTGTTTTATGAAGTAATCCCCTTGTTAAGTAAGGTCAGGTCACAAATTCTAACGCATTTTCAGTGAGTGGTGGTTCCCATGTCAGTTCAGTTCTCAAAGACTTTGCAGCGTTGCTTGGACCTGTCCTCCATGTATGACACCAATGGTCCGTCTGTGACCTGAGCAAAGTTTATCTTTTAGCTCAGTTCTCGGAGTGTTTGGTAGGCTGACTGGGCCCAGATCTACATGTCTGTGGTCCAGGAGTCACACCTAACGTTATAATGCAGGTTTCCTGCACTTTTCTTTCTCCCTTTGTATAATCTCCCCAGCACTTCCTGCTTCGATGGGATTTCTATTTCCAGGCTGCAGACAGAAAGCTGGGCTTTACCTGCCCCGCTCTGCCACATGCTTTTACAAGTGCACTCACATCTGGAGCCAAGAGAAGGGAGGGCAGAAAGCAGCAGGGTTTTGTCCCAACCCCTTAGGACCACAGTGTAACTGGTTGGAGAAGAAGGTTTTATTTCTTCTGCATGCCCCCTACTGGGGATCGAGCCTGCAACCCTGGCATGTGCCCTTGACCAGAATTGAACTTGGGACCCTTTAGTCTGCAGGCCGATGCTCTATCCACTGAGCCAAACCAGCTGGGGCTTTATGCCTAGTTTTTACCTTGTTGGGAAAGGCATCCACTATGGGCACTGAGTTCGCTGTAGTTTCTTCCTGAGCATGCCAAGGATGTTTGAGTGCTCACTGCCTGGGCTACTTCTCAGGGCTTGAAGTGGGCAACCTCAAGGGATGTGTTAACATGTCTCCCCAGCAGAGGGCAGGCTTGCCTCTGCTCTCTGTAAAAGCAGCGAGTCCCCAAGCTTGAAGTTCCTCTTCTGTAACCCTCTATGTGAAGGCATCCATCCTGTGCCTTTGCATTCCTTCATGGAACCCGGTGGGCATGAGGCAGCAACACAAGAGTATGATGCACTCTCGCTTCCGCAGTAGCTAGAGTGCATCATACTCTTTTGTGTCTCTGACCAGAAGTCTCTGCCTTCTACCAGCATCCCCGAAACAGGATCTAACAGGCCTGCTTGATAGCTTGTAAATAGGGTAAAACTTTAGCATCTGCCCAGTTGTTGGCAATTACTATTTCTTACATGCAAGGGTTTTCATGATCAGGTTTCATAAATTGTGCATAACACCACACTTACTTTTTTTCTACTAGGTTTATGCTGTTACATCAAGTGAAATAAATTAATTTGCTCAATCAACCAATATTTAGGATTTTTTCCTTCATTTAAAAATAATATATAACTTGGTAATTTTTTAAAAATATATTTTTATTGATTTTTTACAGAGAGAAAGGGAGAGGGATAGAGAGTTAGAAACATTGATGAGAGAGAAACACCGATCAGCTGCCTCCTGCACACCCCCCGCTGGGGATGTGCCCGCAACCAAGGTACATGCCCTTGACCGGAATCGAACCTGGGACCCTTCAGTCTGCAGGTGGACGCTCTATCCACTGAGCCAAACCAGTTAGGGCTAACTTGGTAATTTTAAAGTACTTTTTGAGGATAAATTCTCAAGAATGTATAAAAAGTATTAAATGTAATGAGCATTTTCTTCATAAATTGTCTTGTTAGAAAAAAATTAACTGTCTTATTAGAAAAAAATGATTTTGAAAGAAAAATAATTATAGTAGAAGAAAATGCAGCTCTATGATCATATCTATGATTTAAAAAATTATAAGTGGTGAGTAAGTTCCCCAGATTGTATCTGGGGATATGAACCCAGCTATCTTCAGAGTTACAGAGTTAGAAAATTGTTATTTTTCTGTGTAAAATATGCACCACACTAATTCATGAAAGTTCTTAACCATCTGGGTTGTCTATTATAAAGCCTTTATTCACATCATGAAATGTAGCAATCTAGGTCTAATCAGGAGACAGGAAGCACACAATAGGTTAAACAGAAGTTTAATATAAAGAATTATTAGCTATGATGAAAAAGTGACTATAAGATACAAGGCACCTCTATAAGGTTCCCTTGGGCTGAGGGACAGTACACATGGAAGGGCAGAGGGTTCAGAACTGTTGGAGCAGGTGTGGCTCAGCCTACAGATGGCAGAGACATGTGCTGGTTTGTTCAAGCTGGAGCTGGTCTGGAGTTGCTGGATGAGCAACAGTCCACTTGGGAGAGTGCAGGCAGATGAGCAGTACCTGCAAAAAGGTCATCTGGCCTGGCTGACAGGGACCTAGCTGTGCAGACCCTCCCTCTGGGACACACGAGGCTTAAAGGAATTCTGTTAATCACAGGAAATATATTAAAGGTGGTATTCAGGGCTGAGAGGCAATAAATTGATAACACATTAAGTACTGATATATTCAACCAACTTTTTTTTGAGGTTTTATTTAACTATTAGAGGCCCGGTGCATGGGGGAGGGGAGTCCCTCAGCCCGGCCTGCACCGTCTTCATTCCGGGACCCACTGGGGGATGTCCATAGGGATTGGGCCTAAACTGGCAGTCGGACATCCCTTTTGCAATCCAGGACCGCTGGCTCCTAACTGCTCACCTGCCTGCCTGCCTGGTCACCCCTAATAGCCCTCCCTGCTGGCTGGGTTGCCCCTAACTGCCCTCTCCTGCCAGCCTGGTCACCACTAACCATCTCTGCCTTGCCCCCGCCACTGTGGCTTTGTCCGGAAGGATGTCTGAAAGATGTCTGGTCTAATTAGCATATTACTCTTTTATTAGAATAGAAGTATAGATATGCCTGCAGGATCGGGCCTAAACCGGCAGTTGGACATCCCTCTCACAATCCGGGACTGTGGGCTCCTAACTGCTTATCTGCCTGCCAGCCAGGTCACCCCTAACTGCCCTCCCCTGCCAGCCTGGTCGCCCCTAACTTCCCTCCTCTGCCGGCCTGGTTGTCCCTAACTGCTCTCCCCTGCCGACCTTAGTTGCCACTAATTGCCTCTGCCTTGCCCCCGCCACCGTGGCTTTTCCAGAAGGATGTCCAGAAGGATGTTCAGAAAATGTCTGGTCTAATTAGCATATTAGCCTTTTATTAGTATAGAAGTATAGATATGTCTGTGGCATCGGGCCTATACTGGCAGTCGGACATCCTTCTCACAATCCGGGACCACTGGCTCCTAACTGCTCACCTGCCTGCCTGCCTGATCACCCCTAACCACTCTGCCTGCCTGCCTGGTCGCCCCTAACTGTTCTCCCCTGCCTCCCTGGTCACCCCTAACTGCCCTCCCATGCTGGCCTAGTTGCCCTTAACGGGTCACTTCTGCCGGCCTGGTTGCCCCTAACTCCTCTTCCCTCTCGGCCTGGTCGCCACTAACCGCCTCTGCCTTGGTCTCCACCACTGTGACTGTATGGAAGGATGTCTGGAAGATGTAAGGTCTAATTAGCATATTACCCTTTTATTAGTATAGAAGTATAGATATGCCTACGGGATCGGGCCTAAACTAGCAGTTGGACATCCCTCTCACAATCCGGGACCACTGGCTCCTAACTGCTCACCTGCCTGCCTGCCTGATCGCCCCTAACCCCTCTGCCTGCCTCCCTGATTGCCCCTAACTGCCCTCCCCTGCCTGCCTGGTCGCCCCTAACTGCTCTCCCCTGCTGCCCTGGTCACCACTAACCACCTCTGCATTGGCCCCCGCCACCGTGGCGTTGTCCAGAAGGATGTCCGGAAGGATGTCTGGTCTAATTAGCATACTACCCTTTTATTAATATAGATAGTTCCACCTGGCCACCATTTGGTGGGCTGTGTTGAATGTCATTGCCCAAGTACTGAGGGGTGTGCAGTGGGTAGGCTCTGCCTCTGGGCCCACAGTACCACCATCTCTTTTCTGTCTTTGTCTGATGCATCCTCAGGAACAAAACCCATCTGAGGGGCAAGGAAAGGACTTTAGCTCTACAGAAGCTAAAGTGCTCAAGTCATAAAGTCAGAAAAAAAAAATGGATTGGGAACCACCCCTCACAGGTCCACTAAGAGATACAAATGCTCCAAAGCCCTTCCAAGAAGGATTAAATGCCAGTTAACTAAAAGCAGCCCCCGCCCCATGTCAGGTCAAAATGCACAGGATATGCAAGGTTTCCTATAATTAAGATCCCTCCAACTTTTCTGATTTCTGACTGTGGCACGGACAAATTATGGCGTCAGTATTAGTGAAGTGATCATCTAGAGCCCCTCACTTCTGCAGAAATTTAGTTCTTAGAACCACTAACCAATCTTCTAAGTAAAAACATTCTCCCCTTAGCTCAGAAAGAGTACCTCCCTCCTACCTTGTCTTCCTTTAAGCTCAACCTCATGAAGCAATTGTAGCATAGCTGCACTTTGTTCCAGATACGCCAACACTGGACTCTCCTTGGCATTTGTCACCTTGTTGCACCTTGTTGCAGCCTCAGCACAGGTGTGCACAGTTCGCCACACAGCAGGGAACATAGTGCAAAAGTTTAGTATTGGACTCCATCCAGAAGGGTTCAGTCAGTCAGGTCTCAGAAGGCCTCGTTAGAAGGCACTGCCAGCTAGTCATCCAGCTTTTCCGCACAGTGCTAGGCTGACAATGATTAGGGCAGAATAGGCTAGCAGCTAAAAATCCTAATTTTATTTCTATATTCAGAATCAATTCTATAACTAACAATCGATCATCAAGGATTCAGCGGCTGCTGCTTCGCACGGAGGCGAGGCAGGAGGTGGAGAAGGTTGGCACACGGCTGTGAGAGCAGGCCCCCATTCTTCATCTACACAGGAATACCACTAAGGACACCTACTTCATAGCCTTCTTGAGAAGATTAACGACACACTTCAGGTGAATTATGTAGCACAGTGAATGGCACTGACTGAGCAGTCTATACACTTTAGCCATTGTTCTCATTCGCATTTAATGAAAAAATGTGCTTACCTTCTGGGCTAGGTGTCTAGAAACGGTCTGGGAGTGCAGTTGGGAGGCACCCATGTGTGCAGACTCATGGGGTCCCTTAAATGAACTGACCTGAGCACACCCTGGACCGAGGCTTACTACCAGGACCTGCCACCAGATGGCAGCAGACGCACAGCCTGGCTGTCCTGGCCCAGCTCCAGCCCTTGTGAGTGAGTCAAACTGTGGGCTCAGATTCCGAGGCCCTGGAGGCCCACCCACTTCTCCGCGGGCATGCGCACATAGCGCCCCAGGATGCGCTGCTACGGAAAGCGGCTTCACTTCCGAACCGGCCAAGCCAGGTGATTAGAATCAGTATCTTGGGAAGGTTTTGACTCATGCAGGCCACTTACCAATTTGTGAACCAGATTAAAAAAAAAAAAAAAAATCACCACGGTAAACAAAGACAAGGAGGATTTTTCTTAAATTCTCCAGACTTGTCAGGTAGATGGCCTGTTGTAAGCCTAAATGACCTTGATAATCTCATTTTGGCAAAGCCAAGTGCAAGCTGGCCTGTGGCCATGGAAGGGGGATGGGGGTGGGGCTCGTGAGGAGGGTGCTCTTGAATCACCCAGAGGACAAAGGGCCCTCTAGCCACAGTTAGCCTGGAAACTTGGAATTTAAAATTTGTGATTCTGGTGGTCTAAGCAATCAGATTTGTGAATATTATTTCTTCATGCACGTTACCAAAGTATACGTGTGGTTTGTACACCACACTGCAATCTGAAGATACCTGGCTTATCCCATATTAAAAAATATTAAATATACTTAATAGGAGGATGAGAGAGAGAGAGAGAGAGAGAGAGAGAGAGAAAAGCAATCCTGAAATATCACCAGATTAGCTTCCTAAATCTTCCCTTGTTCCTCAAGTATATCTTTGGCTGCAGACATTTTCTTACAGTCTCCATGACCTTCCAACTCACACCCGAAGAACCTGGGTGGCAGAGGGTTCCTGGGTAGAGATGTGGCACACCTAGCTATTCTAGCCCCTAGCCAGTAGGAGATCCTCCCCAGCAGACAGGGCGAGAGCAGTCCTCTCTCTTCCATTCCACATGTGTTCATTGGTGTTCTAGTATGTGCTTAGCACCACGGGTTTCCAATCCTGGTATGCATTTTCATGGCCTAAGGAATGGATAGGTAAATGGGAACCAAAATATGTGTAGCAACGTGGGAAGGAGCTCCTGCTTAGAAACCTATATCTGTCCGATCAACTCTGGGAAACAGATTCCAGCCAGAACCAGTCAAAACCATAATCAAAATCTAAAGCACCGATGTGCATGGAGGAGGGTGGGGGATTAGCTCCACTAAGGTGAGCCAGGAAGACTCCTCAGACAGGGCATTCTTGAATGGAACTTTGAGGGATGCCTGGGTTTTCCAGAGACGAGTTTGAGAGGTGGCAGGAATGGGGTCATTGAAGACAAAGCACTTGACTGTATGAGAGTTCTCCCCAAAGCATGGGGCCTATGAGTGCCAGGGTGGACTGTGCCAGAGTTTGTGGCAGCCAAGGGAGGGCTAGGGAGTCTTTACAAGAAAGCAGACTAGGGGTAGGTCGGCCCATATCATGGGAGGTCTTGGACTTCATCTGGAAGCAATGGGCAACAATGGAAGGTGTTTGTGCTGGAAGGGGACTTAGAGCATGCTCAGATTTGTGTTTTAGAGACATTCTTTGGGAGCAATGTAGAAAAGGGCAAGGGTGGAGGTCAGACAACCAGTTTGGAGGTGATTATATGATAACAAGAAGCCTGATGCACAGATTCATGCACCAGTGGGGTCCCTTGGCCTGGCCTGTACCCTCTTGCAATCTGGGACCCCTTGGGGGATGTCGGATTGCTGGTTTGCACCCGATTCCCACAGGCTAGTCCAGGGGGCCCCACCGGTGCACGAATCCATGCACAGAGCCTCTAGTATGCATAAAAGATCTTTGGTTAATCTCTTCCCACCCTCCCCCCAGCAGCAACCTAACCCACAGCTGATTCTGCGCTCCCTCCTCTACTAGTTAGAGCATCTGCCCCTTGGTGGTCATTGCATGTCATAGCTACTGGGCAAATGGTCAGACAGACGGTCGCTTAGGCTTTTATATCGATACTAATAAAAGACTAGGTGGCCCTTGCGCCCTCACATCATCACAAGATGGCCACCCCCATGTCGTCACAAGATGGTCGCCCAGGTAATCACAAGATGGCCACCACAAGTTGGCCACCACAAGATGGCTGGCAGGGGGAAGTTGGGGGCGACCAGGCTGGCAGGGGAGGGCAGTTAGGGGCGACCAGACCAGCGGGGAAGCAGTTAGGCATCATCAGGCCGGCAGGGGAGTGGTTAGGGGCAATCAGATAGGCAGGCAGGCGAGTGGTTTGGAGCTAACAGTCCTGGATTGTGAGAGGGATCAGGCCTAAACCAGCAGTCGGACATCCCCCGAGGGGTTCGAGATTGGAGAGGGTGCAGGCTGGGCTGAGGGACACTCCCCAGGTGCACGAATTTCATGCACTGGGCCTCAAATATATAGATAAAAACTTCCAGGGCCCCATGTAGCCCAGTCCCATCAGGCTTTCATGCTAAGAAACAAAATGCAACAGCTACTAGGTGTACTGGTTAATAATGGCAGATTTTGTAATAAAAGAAAACATGATAATTTCAAGAGAAAAGTGCTTTATTCAAAGTAATGCCCATCGCTAGCTACATATTTCCCCCATCTTTCAAGTAATTTGTGGATACCGTCCCAATAGAACTTTTCTTGTTTTCAGGCAAACCATTCAGAGACCAAATTTTCCACTTCTTCGTACGTTTTGAAGTGCTGCTCAGAAAGTGTGTGTCATCCATCGATCAGAACAAGTGGTAATCTAAAGGAGCAAGGTCTGGTGAATACAGCAGGTGGGTTAATACTTCCCAGGCAAGATCTCTTAACGTGTCTTTAACTGGTTTTGAAGTGTGTGATGGTGCATCATCATGAAGCAAAATTACTTTGCCGTGTCTTCTGGCACATTCTGGTCATTTCACTATCAAAGCATGGTTCAAATTGATTATTTGTTGTCGGTAGCAATCTATTAATGGTTTCACCTGGTTTTAGAAGCTCATAATACACCACACCTTCCTGATCCCACCAAACTCAGAGCATTGTCTTCTTTTCGAAGTGATTTGGCCTTGCAGTTGATGTTGATGGTTGACCTGAATCAACCCATGATTTTGTGCATTTGGGATTCTCAAAATAAATCCACTTTTCATTGCCAGTCACAATTCGATGCAAAAAAGACTTTCTTTCATGCAATTGAAGCAACATTTTACTGATGACTTTTCGGTTTTCCATTTGTCTTTCATTCAGTTGATTTGGTACTAATTTTCCTCCTTTAAAATCTTTCCCATTGCTTGTAAATGATCTATCCACTGAGCCAAACCGGTTTCGGCTGCAAGTTGTTTTTGAGTTTGACACGCATCTTCATCCAATAATGCTTGTAATTGTTGGTCTTCAAACTTTTTCGGTTGACCTGGACGTTCTTTGTCTTTCACATCGAAATCATCACTTTTAAAGCATTTAAACCAGTGTTCACAAGTATCTTGAGATGGAGCATGTTCACCATAAGCTTCCTGAAGTGTACGATAACTTTTTCTTCAAAATAATGAATTAAAACTTCCCGCAAATGCTTTTTTTGGCACGAAATTCGACATTTTTAAGCATAGAATTATCTATGTTAACACCTTCAGCAAATTTGACATATGAAGTTTTGAAGCTTGCTGTGAATACAACAAAACAGCATACATATCAAATTGCATATATGTCAACATATGTGTAACTCCATCTATTGAGAAAAATCCGCATTAACTGGTACAACTAGTAAAAGTTATTTTTAAAAGAACATTATTAAAAACATTCCAGTCTTTTCTTCTGCTTCCGAAAAATGCTAAAGGGAATGCAATTTAAAACACATAGCAACACATTGTGGCCATTTTTCCTCTTCAGCAATCCACATGCCTTAAGTGTGAGTGATTGGAGAGTAGGAATTCTGTGTCTTGTTTTTTCTTGAATCCACAGCTTTTAGAATAGCATTTGGAGCTTAACAAAGCTCTATGTAGGTATTTTTTACTCCATGGTGCAGCCTCTCACATGCAAACTTAGTTCCTCCCACTCTTGGCCCACCTCCTTCTTCCCAGTTTCCCATCTTTGCACCATAGGAACCTGGGAACTTGCCTGACAAGATCTGTGCTCTGCCTGGAGGCTGGTGGGAAGCTTTGAGGATAAAGATGAAACCCTTCTGTGGCAGAGAGGCTGAGGACACTCAGGTACTAATGACTTCTACCTCCATCTCAATTGGTGTCTCCAGATGAGAGATGATAAGGACTAAACTCAGGCACTGGCAATGGGGAGGAAAGCAAGGAAGCCTAGGACAGACATCACAAAAGCCACCTGCAGGACTGAAGACCGGAAACCTGGAGTGTTGCCATGACTGAAAGAAAGACGACTTGATGTATTCCCTGAACACCCACGTGTCCTTGAAAGTCAATGATAGAGTTACACACCCCTGAGCCACACCGGACAGGCTAGCATCCTTTTTTAAAAATTCAAACTTTTTATTGATAATGAAAATTGCTGTTTGAGTTTTTAAACTTAATCTAGAACAGAGACATATGAAAAGTAATACTATGCTACATTACTTAGGACTAGAGGCCCGATGCACGAAAATTCATGCAAGAGTAGCCTTCCTCACCCCCCCCCCCCGCCCCCCCCCCCTGCTGCTGGCACCAGCTTTCCTCCGCTGATTCCGGCCTGGCTGCCGGCCGCCATCTTGGCTGACAGTTAATTTGCATATACTCACTGATTAGCCAATGAAAAGGGTAGCGGTCGTACGCCAATTACCATCTTTCTCTTTTATTAGTGTAGATTATTGGCAAATTATTTAATAGGCTGTTATGACTTGCATTCTAATTATAGACAATTATCTGAGTATGGAATAAGTACTGGATTAAATCCCTTAAAAATAAACTATATATGAAAAGATAATTGAAAAAAAAGAAGATGGGGTGATTTTGAAGAAGATGCTTCTGAAAATGATGCCAGAGAGCATG